AAGGTATTATAAAATATTTTTGAAAAATATCTATTCAAGGTTCTAGTACTATTGTCCGAAAAATATTTTGTTTGCGACTATAGCAGAACATTAAAAAATATATTTTAACATAATAGATAAAATATTTACCAAATAATAATTATAAAAAGTTGTATTATAATTATYCTGAAAATATTTTGTTCTCAACCATTGGAATATATTTAAAAAATATATTTTGACATAATTGATAGAATATTTACGAATTATTAGTAGTATTATGATTGTTTCAACAATATTTTTATGGAAACTTTTTTTAAATATCAAAAAAATATTTTTATAAAAATATTCATGATTCAACCATATTTACAAAGTATTATCATTACCCAAATGCTGTGTGGGTCATAGTTCAGTGTAATTTATAATGAATTACTAATTTTTACTGAGATCAAAATTAATATTAATAAGTATTATTTAGTAAAAAAAAAAATTGTTAGATGAACTTACCAATTAACTATATAAATTATATAGTCACCAAATAAATAAATTACAGATGAATTTAATAATGTTGCCTTGGTGTTTGTATAGTATTGTATTGTTTTATGATAATATGATATCCATGATGAGAGTAAGATAATGTAAGTGATCCATTTGTATACAATGTTTAAATAAAAATTATAAACTAGGTATGCAGAATAACAGGTTTGACTAAAATAAAAAAATTAAAAACATTAAAAAATCATTTCTTACATAAAATTWAAAAACTTCTATTGATTTTTAACTGTTCAATTACAAGGAAAATTTATCAAACAAACTTGAAAATTAAATTTCTAAGTTGGTATCCAATAACCATTAAACCATGCATTATATTAGTTTTAGATAACTATAACACCTATCTTGAATTTAATTATTTTTACATTGTAAATTGAAGTATTATAAAAAAGTACATTTTGAAATAGTATTATTTAAAATTGAAGTACCCGAAAATTTATTTTGTTTACCATTATGGCATTATACTAGTAAGTCGACAGAAAACAACATTAATATTAATCAATAATCATATTATCGAAATTCAAAATAAGATTAACGAATAACGATGATTATAACATATTTTAAGTTTAAGGTTAACTTGATAGTTCAAGAGTGTGTGTACTGCTATGGACTAGCGTCCCGCATTGTCTTGTTCACGGTCAACTAAGTACCAGCAGGAACCAAGCTAGGGTAGGGTGCGACCAACTTTGTAATTGTAGGAGAGAAAGCATTTAGTGGAAATCATTAAGAGGACGCCACACCCGCATGTGTTGTCTCCGTCGTACAAGTGCGTAGCATACCAAATGTTACGCTCAGCACATCACGTTTATCTCCGTTAATTTAAAATTTAGAGTGAATTGACTTATTATAAAAATTAAAGGCATGATTATTACCGAGGGCATCTCATARGCTTTTTATTATATTTTAATTTTAAACTGAGTTATGAGTATTTTTAGATATAAAAATAATTTTAAATTTTAAAATAGTCATAACTCAGTTTAAAATTAAAATATAATAAAAAGCCTATGAGATGCCCTAGGTAATAATCTTGCCTTTAATTTTTATAATARGTCAATTCACTATAATGGAGAGTTGAGGGTAGTACTATATAAGAATTAAAATATAAACATTTGTACAAAACACCAACTCATTTTAGTACGCCAACATCATCTGTATCAATTTCAAATAATTCAACAGTTCAAGCTGGTACTATTATCGACTAAATCAAATATAATTAATTTGTATAAAAAATAATTTTTTTTCACAGAAATACTTTATATTTTGAAAAACTTGACTTGTATTTTGACAA